GCGCTCCATGGCTTAGGACCGGGGTACTTACGAGACCGCCTTCTGCCACCAATAGTCTCTCACCACCCAGTACACTCCCATAGAGGGGCTTCTCAGGGTGCCGTCAGCCAAACAGTGTCGACTGGCAGCCCCCAGGGGGAGAGCCTTTTCTGTGAGGGCACCCACCATCTGGAACGAGCTCCCCCCAGAGATACAGAGGATTCCGGATCTGCGCACTTTCCGCCGTGCCCTCAAAACCTTCCTGTTTCAGCAGGCCGGCCTGGCCTAACTTTCCCTTTATATTGCTTTTGATTTTATTTTAAACTGGGATGTCTTGAATTATCTAGGACCAGAGTGTTTAGTATATTTTAATTGGTTTTTTTAATGTTTGTATTACATGTATTTTTATCGTTCGCTGTTCACCGTCCTGAGTCCCTCAGGAATAGGGTGGTGTATAAATTTAATAAATAAATAAATAAATAAATAAATAAATAAATAAATAAATAAATGAATGAATGAATGAATGAATGAATGAATGAATGAATGAATGAATAAATAAACCCTAGTTAAGGTGCAGGGCCCATCGTTTGGTGGTACTAGAGCAAAAACATTTTTACAATTCTCTATACAGAACAATTATGTCCCTGTGAGCATGAGAAGAATTGAACATGTAGCATTGCTTGTCAATTTTTAGAGGCATTTCAAAATATCTGTTGGAGTTGCCGGGTTGTCCCAGAATTTCTACATAACCTTTCCTATTGTCTGACAAAAGCTCTAGCATAACATAAAGATTATGTTCAATTCCAGTCATGTCCAACTCTAGAGATCAGTGCTCATCTCCGTTTCTTAGCCAAGGGAGCCAGTATTATCTGAAGACATTTCTGTAGTCATGTGACTAGCATGATTATATGCTAAAGTACACAGAATGCTGTTAACTTTCCAGGGAAGTAGTACCTATTTAATCTACTCACATTTGCATGCTTTTGCTAGATGGGCAAGAGCTGAAACAGGAATGAGGTCTCGAACCTGGGCTATCAGCTGTCTTGCTGACAAGCTAACTTCTTTAACTGCTCAGCCATCGCACCCCCTTTTACCATAATATATAATATAGCAAATTTTGTGTCAGTTTTTATCTCTATTTAGAATTAGTTTCCCTATTATTTATTCTTATAGGTTTGAAATTTGTATTGTTTTAGTTTTAAATATCTACTATGGCAGTTCTGAGTCATTCTGATTAGTGGTGTACATTTTCATTGTTTCAACATATGGTTTATCTACTTGTTTATATTTACTCCTACAATTCCTTCTTAAAATGTATATATGTCTAATAAATACTGGAAAATATTGAATAGAATAAAGCTAATGGCTGAGTCATATCCGACACTTCTGTTTCTGTGGTCCTTGCAACTGCAGTTTTTCATATCTACCATTTTAAAGAAGTAAACACATGAAAACAATAGAGTAACCCTTGAAACACTTTAATTCTATTTTAAAAGGCATAAGCAATTCTCCAAAGTCTGCTCCCTTACCCTCAGGTCATGAAAATTGAAAATCTTGTTCCACTGACATATGAAACATGGTAATTTCCACTTCGTTTTATTGACCCACATGCATTCTATGACACTTAATCCTTCCCACATATGTTATTGTACTCCAACTCTGACCTCTAACATGAGGTCAGAATATGATGTTGCCAGAAACTCATTTTTAAACTATAGATTGCCTATTTATTAATATATATTTTCTGTGTGTCAAAACTATATTGTGAGGGGTTCATTTCATGTCTCCCTAATTCTAGCATAAACATTGTTTTTTCATCTACCAGACTCTTTGGCTATGTGCTTGTTGACATTAGGCTGAGAACTCCTGACTGCTAGTGGCCACTTTAAGCTGCTGCAGATGTCGTCCTGTTACTGGAAAATGCCCTTCATTTTCATTTTGGTCATGTTTACAGGGAAGATGGAACAGTGCATCCAACATGTGATTTTCAAAGGGCTTGTTAAGTTTTACATAAATGCCTTAGTAGTATGGGGTTAATACTGTTCTTGAAAAACAGCTAGGGCTTGATACTCAGAAAATTTATTTTAATCAGGAAAGACACTCATTATATACCAGGTCTGGGCTGCAGACAATAGAAAGTAAAAGAGGTGACATTGACAGAAATATGCAAGAACTATTGGCAAAGGGGACCAAAGCATCATTCAGTCCTGTTGAAACAAGGTAATATTCAGAAGCAGACCATATTCTGCCTTCCTAATTCACTGGAGTAAAAGCGGAAGAGTGGTTTAGCACAATTAGACTTGCAAGTTTTTGTTATTATAGGCAATCTTAATAAAATGTGACTCTAATCTTCCTGGAGAGTGGATTTTCTCATCTGGTCTACTTTATGGGGATGACATGGTTATTGTTACTGCATAGTGTTACTGTTATATGTTATACATTGTTTTGTTAGTAATGCAATAATTTCATTGTGTATATTACTGTGGGAGGGGAAAGGGGTATGTCAACTCAATTCTACCTACCCACTTCTGGCTTCAGAAATACTAGATAACATGGTGATCTCTGCCATCATTACATGTGAGCCAATTACAATTGCAATCCACTGGTTACTTCCCAATGCTGCCAGCCACCTTTGTTGCTTGCTTGTAGCACTGCCATATCCATGCAACACAGTTGGATCTCGGTGCTTGCAACCTGTTAGTCAAGTAACTTGACAGGTGATTAGATATGCCTTCTCAAGCACCTGCCTACACTTGTCAAACCTACAGGAAGCAACATTGCAGAGAGTGATGATGGGTCATTGTTTTTTCACAAGCAGGTAATTAATTATTGTTGGAAAGGAAAATAAAGCCCAAGGGAATCCAGCACATTCTTTAATTTGTCCTGCATTAAATCAGTAAAGACAGCACAGTTGCTGTTCTCCTTTATATAGTGGATTAAAGATCAGCAATGAAGATAGTACAATTTATGCTAGTATATTTTTCTGCCAGCAAAAGGAGTGAATAACAGAACTTTTGGACAGCCATCTAGTTTTCCCCATACCTATAATTAGTTCGACCTTGGGATACATTCCATTTAAACTTATCATTAATGATGGAAATACGAATAGAATAGAATAGAATAGAATAGAATAGAATAGAATAGAATAGAATAGAATAGAATAGATAATTTAAAGCAACATGTAATCAAGAGCCATTTGTTATTTGAGGAAAAGATAAAATCAGCTATCATCTTTCCCATGAAAATCCAGGCAAGCTTTTCTGGGCTACAGAACTCAGATCTGTACTTTCAAAGAAATTAGGCCATAATGTAATATTGTAAACAATATTATTTGCTCACTCTTAAGTGCGTTTTTGTTTAGTCTCTAATACAGGGGTCTGCAACCTTAAACACTCAAAGAGCCATTTGGACCCATTTCCCACAGAAAAGAAAAAACCAGGAGCCACAAAACCTGGGTGGGCATGGCTAACTCAATGTCACTCACTTCTACCAGTCACATGAACCCCCCCTAGCGACGCCTACCCAGCCGCTCATTAGGGCAGAGAACCAGTTGTTAAAAAACACCAGGAACCCAAAATCCTTATGACATCTCTCTCTCTCCCCTCCCTCCCTCCCCCCTTTCTCTCCCCCTCTCTCTGTATCTCTCTGTCTCTGCCCTGGCTGCTTCTCTATCCCCTGTTGTCACCCTTACCTTCTCAGGCTAGGTGAGGAGTGACTGGGAGGGGAGGGTGGGGGCGGAGCCAGCCACTGGTGGGATCACCTGACAGGGGGCCACAGCAGAGGGCCCAAAGAGCCGCAGGTTGCTGACACCTGCTCTAATATAATCTTTGTTTCATTCCTGGGTATTAAAACATATGAAGTTACTCTTTTTACATAAAAATTCTACTTTCTGGAAGTTGTAATGTACACCATCATGGATGGAGGAATGGTATTTCAGTGTGGCCTTACTAGAGTAGCGTACAGTGGTAGTATCACTTCATGTGACTTGATACTATCACTCTCTTAATGCAGCCTACAGCATCATTTCCTTGACTTTTTTCTTCTTCCTTACATATTGAAAGAATTATTTTTGTTGTTGTTGTTGAAAGTCTTAGCTTATTCACCCTTGCAGTCTCCTGTTTCTTTCCTCTAGGTCATTGCTTTTTTCCAAAATTTTCTTTTTGGTCCTTTCTGAATAAAAGTTTACTTTAAGATAGTTAAAGTGCTATAACATTAGGTAGCCAACTAACCTCATAATTTATGTGATAACTAAGTAAACCGAACTGAGCTTTATTCACTTTCATTGTGATAACATATAATAGCTAAAGACTTAATATCCTTCTATATGTATTTCTTCTATGTATTTGGTTAGAGCTGGTTTTCAAGTTTCCTCTTTATATTATTATGCCCCTAGTTATATTTTACATAGTTTTGTTTTTTAATTTAATTTGTAAACTTTTGGAGTTTCTAGAAAATCTGTCTATAAACTCTCTAAACATCAATTATACTGCATTTGTTAGACTTCAAGATTTCATAGAGCTGTCTTTTTGCTTTTATCTCACTATAGTTGATCTAAAAAATACTTGAACTGGGAATTTTAACTTTAATTTAATTGTAATGGAATTAATAAAATCTCATCACAAAAGAATGCAATGCTGACCTTCAGAAATTTAATTAATCTCTTCAGATTCTTGTTTCAAGTATGATTTAGCAGAGGAAAGCTTCCATTAACTTGGCAGCTAAGTAATAATCACTCTTGTTTATTAAGTGCAAGCAGAATTTTCCAGTGTAATATATATTATGAACAACAATCATGCTCATTGAATTATAAGCAATATTAGGCTGCAACTAGCTATCAGTAAAATAATAAAATTATTAATATTTTTAATTAAAAATATTATTTTTCTATATAGAAGACAAATACTATAGCTTGCTCCCCATTTCAAACTTCAGCTTTCTGACCCTTTATAAATAGTATTGTTTATTTTGTCTAATTTTAAGTAGCACATAGCTCAAAAGAAATATATTTTCATATGTTACAGAGAATTACTGGAATGCTGCATCATTTGTTACTCGATCTTCATATCTCCACTTCTCCACCTTTCAAGGAGAGACTAGTGCTGACATTTCATTCTACTTCAAAACATCAGCCCCTGATGGAGTCTTCCTTGAGAATCGGGGGAATTCAGATTTCATCAAACTTGAGTTAAAATGTAAGTATGTCCACAGCATGAATTAGAGTATCAGATGAAAGTAAGATAAGGTTTTAAATTTTTATTATCATGCATACTCTATGAACTCTCCAATGAAGCAAAAAAAAAAAAATAGCTTGGGTGTCCTGTCTTAAACTAGAATGTTTAATGCTTAATTTAATGTTCTTAATCCAGCCAGCTCAGAAGTAGGCCTGCTTACATAGCTATGCTAAATAATAATGCCACTTTCCTTTGATTTAAAAAACCCCAATGATTTAAGGAGATGGACATGATTCTCTTCCTTACAATCACACTACACAATAATTAGACTAAAATTTTCACTTAAAATGATAAATTCAAGGTTGCACATTCTAATAGTTTAATATATTTATCTCTAGTCCATTTATGGACACAAAGGTATACTGGTGTATCTTGATCTCTTATGCCAATTGATCTCTCTTCTGCCCTGGTAATGAGGCCAATGAGTAGTGCTTAAAGTTACAGCTTTAATGTAAAACATTTACAAATTGCATGGCTACGAGCAAAGACAAGGAGGAGGGATTTTGCAACTACCTAAATACAGAGATTTACGAATAAAAAGGGACATTAGGACAGGGACGGTAGGCACGTTGGTGCGCTTATGCACACCCCTACAGATCTCTTAGGAATGGGGTGAGGTCAACAGTAGACAGTCTAAGGTTAAAGTTTTGGGGGTTTGGGGAAGAAACCACAGTGTCAGATAGTGCATTTCAGGCACTGACCATTCTGTTACTGAAGCCATATTTTCTGCAATCAAGTTTGGAGCGGTTTACATTAAGTTTGTATCTATTGTGTATTCATGTATTGTTGTGGTTGAAGCTGAAGTAGTCATTGACAGGTAGGACATTGTAGCAGATAATTTTATGTTCTATGCTTAGGTCAGACCGAAGGCGGAGTTGTTCTAAATTGTCTAAGCCCAAAATTTCAAGTCTAGTGGCATAAGGAATTCTATTGCGAGCAGAGGAATGGAGGACTCTTCTCATGAAAATATCTCTGGACTTTCTCAATTGTATTAATGTCTGATATGCAGTGCGGGTTCCAGACAGATGAGGTGTGTTCGAGAATTGATCTAGCAAATGTTTTGTATGCTTTAGTTTAGTAGTACAATATTACCAGAGAAGAACTACGCAAAATTAGGTTAACAACTCTTAATGCCTTTTTGGCAATGTTGTTACAGTGGGCTCTGGCACTTAGATCTTTAGAAATGAGTACTCCAAGGTCCTTGACAGATTGAGGGTTGTCTACAAGGTCATGTCCAACTAGCCTGTATTTTATGTTCTGATTTTTTTTCACTAATGTGTAAGACAGAGCATTTGTTGGTTGAGATTTGAAGTTGCCACTTGTTTGACCAATCTGACACATAGTCAAGGTCTTTTTGAAGGGTAGCAGCATTGTCGGTGGTGTTGAATAGTTTTACATCATCAGCGAAGAGAACACAGTTACTTTTAATATTATCGCAAATGTCATTTATGTAAAGTATAAAGAGTGTTTGTCCTAAAACACTATCTTGGGGAACACCGCTGTTGACAGATACAGGATTTGATAGAGTGCTTCCTATTTTGACCACTTGTTGCCTGTTTGACAGGAAAGCAGCTATCCATTTATGCAGGAGTCCAGAAATGCCATAAGAATTTAGTTTTAGAAATAGTTTGTCATGTACCACTGAATCAAAGGCTTTACAGAAGTCTATGTAAATTGCATCTCTTGGTTTGCCCCGATCGAGATGTGTAGTCCATATGTTTTTGCAGTGTAGTAGTTGCAGATTACAAGATAAATTTAGTATTGTCAGAATTTGATCTGAAGTGAATAAAAACTTTTGGCCTCTCCTGCTTTATTGAAAATCCCCAATACGATCTGTGAAACAAGCATCAAGATCCCCAATACCATGAATTATCCATACATTTTCTCTAATTCACTCCCTCTCTCTCATTCACTAGTTCTTTTCTACTTGCTTGCTTTATCTGAGTCATCTGTCTTGTCTTCTAATGCTTTCACTTTTATGCATTTTTTTGCTCTTTCTTGTTATGTCTATCACTTTGTAAAGGGAACTATTGACAGACCTCTGTGAGTAAACTGCTTGCTCTCTCAACCCTGCCCTAGTAGTTTGTGCTCTCTGTTCCCTTTTTTGCCAGAAAACTCTCAAAACTGCAATGTTAGCTAAGTTGCAAAAAGAAAAACAAATAAGAGACAGTTTCTGTGACTCCAGCTTCATCTGCACAGCCTGTAATTAGCTAACATTTTGATCAAATGTTTAACAAATGAGAAGAGAAGGGATAATTTACACAGAGAGCCACCATTTCTCTGAGGATTCAACTTCACAAGCAATTACCAGGACTGAAAAGTCTGGATGTGCATCCTGCAGGCAAAAGCTGTCAATAAGAGCTAGACATATGACAGCCTCAGACTGCATCATTACACAGTCACTGCCAAGTGCCAGAAGTTGGTCATACAGTAATGCTTGTATCAAGAAAAAATGGAACACAGTACTTCAACATCAGATCAGCTGAGTACAATGTTAGGCAAGGCATGAGCTGAAACTTATGTCATTAGGACAAGTCCTTAAAGAGCTATTAGGAAAGCATTTTTGAAGGGTGGCTTCTGATTTAGATGCTTTTGTAGAGGTCAAGGCATACTATTTGACTTGCTGATTGGCTACCATGGGCATGGTAATTTGTCTCCCTACATTTCCTTTTTTTTTTTTTATGCAAGGGGCCAAAGCCATTGCACTAATATGTGAACATAATAATTAAATATTTAAAGTGCATAAACATGATATTGTTTTCACAATATTTTTATATAAACAATACATCTATAAAAGATAGTTATGCTACATTAGTCTATTGGTTAATAACCCCTCGGCATTTACCATGTTAAATTTTGACCAAATTTACTTATTCTACACATATGATCAGGATCTTCATATATTTAAAAGAATGCAGACATTTTATTTCCTGAGTGAAAGAAAAGTATTATAATGTGAAACCAATCTGCTCTGCAGAAGTGTTAATGAAGTTTGCTCTTATGGAGAATCCATTAATAAAGTACAATAAAGAGCTGTAAAACATTTGGTTGGCCCATTCATCAAACAATACTTCTTTCTACTTGTCACCTATCAAGGATCAGCTAGCAAAGATGGAGAAACATGTCAGGCAACATGTTTACATAATTTGATATGTTTATATTATAATTACTTTTACATATCACATATCAAGATAGACTTCCATTCTTCAGAATTTAGCAGAAGATCTTGGCTATATTTTAGCATATCGAAAAGAAAGTCTAGGTTTCATTAATTGTAATTTTAGATAAATTTGCTTTCCAAATACCCTTCAATTTACTTTATTTTTACTGGAGAAATAATTCGGCTTCTTCCATTGTGTCTGTAAGTGCGTGTTTTTCATTCGATAATAGTAACTTTCAATTGAGATTCCAGACATCTGCAATATGTATAACAGCTGTTCTCATCACTCAGAATTCAAACATCAGATTAGGGACAAGAATTGGTAGGAAATCTTCTCTCGTTTCAAATTACTAGTACACTAAATTCCTTACTAACTAACTTTTGTTCATGCACAGTCAGCCAGATGTTCAGACTGGATCTGGCATTTTTATCCAGCTCTCGAGTCCTTCCCAAGAACCTGGGATAGTCAGATGTTGATGTTTGATAGTATTAGAAGTATCATTGCAGGATGTAACCTGTTCCAATTAAAGCTGCCTTTTGTAATTGACTGATGGTGAATTTGTCAATGCCAATGGTGTTCAAGTGATGTTCCAGTTGTCTTGGGATTGCACCCAAGATACCTATTACTATGTACTATCTTTGCTTTCTTTTGCCAGTCATTCTATTTGCAAGTCTTTGTATTTGGTTATCTTCTCCAGTTCTTTCTCTTCTATTCTGCTGTCTCCAGGTAGTGCCATATCCACTATCCAGACTTTTTGCCTTTCTAAACAACAATTGTTAAATCTAGTATGTGGCAGGTGTCTCTTGGTTTGAATTCTGAAGTCCTGGAATATTTTAGCTTCTTCATTTTCTATTACTTTCTCTATTGTATGGTCCCACCAGTTCTTACAAATGAAGGTGAATATATGTGTCCTAGGATAATGTTTCAGGATCCAAACAAGAGGTTTTGTCTTCTGAGCTTTTGGAGTCATACTGGAGCCCATCTTCAAGGAACTTCTCAGAGAAAAGCCAGAAGACAAAACCTCTGGTCCCAGTGACCCACCAGTTCTTGCTTGCAGGCAAATGATATTTCTTGCAGATCTTACAATGCACCATGGTTGCTACTTTGTCATGCAGTTGTTTGTAGTCGGTCTATATTATTATTATTTAAGATTTAAACTTCAATTCAATTCACAGTCTGGGACTGGTAAAAACTTAATAGTTTAAATCCTAACCAAGAACCTAAGAACTGTTAAGGTAATATCTGACTATATAGCCAGTTCCAAGTAAGGTGGGTTTTTTTGCAATCAAAATATTCAGGTCTGAAAAGGGGCGTTGGTCCTACCTGATACGCCCCTTCTCGTTGAGTGGAGACAGCAGCCAGACGTGGGTTGTGCTCATTGGTCAGAGGTAGGACTGAGCCTGGAATTCTTTTCCAAATCCGCCCCCTGTTGCTAGGGCTCCCAGCTTTTGTCGAAGGAAATCCAGACTCGGTGTGTGGAAAGAAATTAGGAAACAACAAGTCAAAACACTAAGACATGGATGACCAGACTGAAATCAGGGTGGGGCTGGCTGCTGTCTCCACTCAACGAGAAGGGGCGTATCAGGTAGGACCAACGCCCCTTCTCCCTTGAGGGTGGAGACAGCAGCCAGACGTGGGACATACCAAAGATCACTGTCCCATTTCACGGGAGGGAACAGTCTGGGCAGAACACCCCTCCCGAGCTCCAACACAGTGCAACACCCTCCTCCCAAAATCGGCCTCAGCAGAGGCGAACTTATCCAGCTTATAGTGTCTAATAAAGGGGGAAGGAGAGGTCCA